TATGTGTGGGTGGGGAGGGCTATGTGTGAACTCTCTGTATTTTCTGCTCAATTTCTGTCGTGAACCTGAAACTGCTCTAAAAGAATAAAGTTTACCAAAAAAAATAAATAAATAAAAAATAAATAAATAAACCTAAAGTGAGATTGAGACTGATAAAAAGTACTTAATAAAATTACTTTAAAATCATTATATCATCATCATCATAATATCCATTTACTCCTTCCAGCAACAATACAGGGTAGGCAGTGTTATTTTGCTTGTTTGTTTTAAGAGGGGGAAGGTTTATTTACATATTTGTATTTGGAGGAGGTACTGGGGATTGAACCCAGGACCTTGTGCATGCTAAGCATGTGCTCTGCCACTTGAGCTATAGCCTCCCCACTGCAGTGTTATTGTCTCCATTTTCTGGATGGGGAAATTGAGGCACTGAGAAGCTAGATAAGCTTAAGGTCACATGTGGGGCAACTGGGACTTGAACCCAGACAGTGGGGTCCAGAAGCTGTATCTCCTGCCTTCTGGGTCCCACTCCTGAGCCAGGGGTGAGGTCCGTCTCCGAGAACTCGATGCAGTGACATAGAGGGAGGCCCCGGGGACAGTCCAGTGCTCACTGGCCACGTCCGCATCTCTCCTCTCCCCTCCACCCGCCGCCTGGCACAGCCTGCCCAGAACCCACTTGTGAGCAGACTGACCTAATGCAGGCTGGGCAGGAGGGCTGAGTCCAGGCAAACAGGCAGTGGCCCAGAGAGGCCGTGTGAGCTGGTGCCAAGGCGGACGTGGGGTGGGAGGGGTGACAGACACCTGGGGCCACAGGGCAGCTGGGGGTCGGAGCCCATGCCTTTGACACCCGTCAGACCTCGGCAAAACAGCCTGTGCCCACCGCCCTGACCGGGAATCTGGGCAAGACGCCAAGTCATATTTAATGCATTTATGAGAAATCAAGACGTGGCTATTTATAATCTGTTGATTTGTCTGCCAACTGGGAAGTAGGTAAACGTGATGACATCTCACGAGCAGAATCCAGGCGAGGCCGCCTGCCCCTTAACAAAGTCAGCCACGTGGGCTCACAGGTTCTCATGGCCACCTGTGGGCCTGGGGAGACTGAGGCTCAGAGAGGGAAGGTGGCTTGGACACCCCTCAGAGCCAGGACCTGGTGGGGCGGGGAGTGGAATCCGGGAGGACTCACCCCACCCAGCAAACCCCCTGGGCTGCACCGTCAGAACCCACCCATCAGTACCTTTGAGGACAAAACTCACTTTTCAGTTGTTCGTGGGAATCTTTGGAACATTAACCGCCTCATGAGCTCTTTCACTGCCTGCCTGCCCCTTCCTCCCCACTCTCTTCCTTCCTCTTTGATATTAAAATGTTTTCTTCTTTCTCATCTCTCCCTCTTCTTCATTCCTTCCGCATTCCTTTTCTCTGTTCTCTTTGTTTGTCTTTTTATCAAAGCAATCATCATAATGCCAACAATAGGTAGCATTAGGGAAGGTTCGGGTGCCCCCTCAGTCCTCCATGAACGGAAACTCACCCAGCCTCCGCTGATTCTCTGATACATTCTGTTAGCACCCCCATTTCACAGATTAGGGGAGTAACCCACCAACATCAGCTCGATTGCCAAGGTGGCTCCCCCAGGCTGCGTCTCCCAGCGCATTTGGGATTTGCATCTCTCCTGCCACTGATGCTCTCGGCACTTCCCCTCCTCCGATGGTCTCTGATCGAGTGGCTAAAATTCCAGCAGGGACACCAGAAATGAATCAATAAAATGTCCGCCTTTGGAGGAATCTGATGTTTGGTTTATTCTTACTCTGCAGGGATCCTTTGTGGGAAGGGGTTCTCAGAGGAGTCCCCAGTGAAATGGCCTTTCGGTGGGTGTCACCACTCTTGGCTCCGGTTCCCACCCCCATGTCTTTACTGTTGGGGGGATCAGATGAGTTGATGCATGGGTAGTGCTTAGAACAGTGCTTGGCCCAGCACGTGTTTCATGAATGTTTGCTGTGGTAGCTGATGCCACTGTCATTCAACCCTGGTTTTGGAGAGCAGGACAGGACACCAGGCGAAGCCCTGTGCTTGGGCCCACGTGGCCAACCCTCCTGGCCTCAGGTTTCCAGACTGGGCCT